ATTGCAACCATGTAGACGCCACGGAAAAAAAAGAAAAGAAGAAGAATCTGATCTGGCTAGCAATAAAAAAGATTCTATGAAGAGTACAGCTGATAAACTGCTTGAGACCAACAAACAGTCTGCTTATCCAGATCCAACGAGAGCGCCACTCAGAGATTCACAAATTTCAGCTGAAATGGCATCGATGCTTGAAGGAATGGACGCACAATTACAAAGTTCTCAAGTATCGTCGACCGTCTTAGACTGCCCTGTTTCAATGTATCAAGGCTGGAATTATCAAGCCGATCAGCAGTGGAATAGGGCAGGTTGGTTAGATCAACGGAAAAATAATTGGATGAATCCATGGGCCGATTACGGTCCATTCGGCGGTTTGGAACGAGAAGCAAAGGTAGATCCGGATAGTACCAGTTTAGACGACAGGCCCAGAAGCACTGTATCGCAGGACGATGCTCGATCTAGAAATCTTCAAACTTCTTGTGGAGAATCACCCCGGAGTACTTACAGTCAATCTCCGAGGAGTTATCCTATTTCCCCTAGGGGATCTTTATCAAATATTTCAAATTGCCCGTCAACGCCACAAGATCAACGTCTCATTTCTCCGAGAAGTTCTGGTTATTCGTCCGGTCCAAACGATTTCAATTTTTCATCGCCATCGCCTCGCAATTGTCAAAATCCATCAGAGAGTCCCCACAGGGCTACGCCAACCAAAAGTATTCAACACACTTCTACACCCATTGGTTCTGAAAATTCTCGTAAAAACCAATCGCCTAATATCAATCAGTTGCGAAGTCCGCTTTTAAATTCATCCGATAGCTACACGTCTAGCTTAAACTCTCCTGGCTATCCCGTAAATCAGCCTCAGCGATATCCAAGTAATGTAGTACCTAACTCTCCGGATCCACAAACTCAGAGTCATTCGATGTTTGGAGCTTCAAATCCTGATTATCTTCATGGTCAATCATTTCCGAATCAAAATTACCAAAGTCTACCTGGTGCAAACTATCCAGCTACATCGATTGAACAATCGAATTGGAGCTCTTTGTCATCTTGGGGCAACGACGGTTTGAAAAAGTCATCTCCATCGGCATTTTATCCTGGAGCGGCAGCATCATCAGGAACTCCTTCGAAATTTGAAGGAAGTAATGAATTGTCAAAACCCTCTTGGGATTCTACATCACAATCGCCATTCAGAGTGCCTAAAGGTAGACCTCCGTCAAGAACAAATGGCGGTCAGACCGATAATAGCACTCAACAAGCTGCAACGCCAAAAACATTCCTCAAACCGAATGAGCCCAATAAAAACAGTTCATTGGTGGAAAATCAAAGTGGCATTGACAAACCACATAATTATGGACAGAGCCCATCTAAAAAAGCTGACTGGCCACCTCATGATAAATTGAAAGAAGGTACATATTTAATTTTCATGAAACATTTTTATTATAAATCATAAACATGTTACAAGTAATAAACTTTGCATTACAGGTTTTCAAGAAAATGCAAAAGATCTACCGAGTCAAAATCCAAATTTAAACTGGCCTGGAGCCGAAATGAAGCCCGTTCAAGACTTTCACGCAGTGCCAGGCTTGAATCATCCAGCAGCATTTCCTCATCAATACGGATACCATCCACCAGGTTATCCGGTATTTGACAAGACTTATCCAAACACTTGGGATGGTTACAATTATAATCCCACAGCTTATCACCATGCTCAAGCACCAGAATATCCTGGTGCAGCACAGTTTTACCGGCCGCCAAAGCGTGATCCTTGTTTTCCGACTGGCCCTCAGTATCCGTTCCAGAACGTGCCTGGGCCTTATCAAGGTTTGGCCCCTGGCTGGGCTCGTTGGGATCCTGCGACAGGCTGTCCTCGCTGGGATCTGTACGGGCCAACTTCTTACCTGCCAGTTTTAGCAGAAACGACGCCGAAGGCCGAGCCCTTGGGGGAGGTTGCTGACTACTCGGACAACGAGGAGTGCTTCAAAGACTCGCAAATGGGCGGAGTTGCGATAGCTTTGGGTCATGGTAGTGTACTCTTTGAATGTGCAAAGCATGAGATGCACGCCACTACTGCCCTGAAGAGACCCAACCGACTGAACCCAACTCGCATTAGCCTTGTATTCTATCAGCATCGTAATCTCAACAGGCCCAGACACGGCTGGGACGAATGGGAGGAAAAGATGCGTCTGAAAAAACTAGGTATCACGACTACTGGCACTGGTCCATCTACGACAACCACCGCTACCACTACGACGGCTTCGAGCCAGTCCGGTGTCAGTGGAAGTCAAAGCAGTACAACCTCCACGAGTGTGGGCCAACCGGTTTCACAATTGCCGCTGCTGCCATACCTGCCGAATGTGCCGAGCTCGCAGTTCATGTTGCGTTCGCCGACCTATACCACTATGACGTGGACCACACTCTTCCCAATGCATCCCTGTATGATCACAGGACCTTACCAGGAAGGTGGAGCCATCGGATGATTATCGAATGGGTCCTCCGACCCATCGAGCTAGCCATAACCGTTTACCAATGCAAAAAAAACTGCCTCAGCGAGCTGTGTTTCCATTTAAAGTTTCCTCACTTCAATCTTAAACAAAAAAACCCTGATGAATTTTTTAACTTTAGATTTTTAAGTTCAACGTATTTTCAGTTTTTTTTCTCAGAGGTGTATAAATCTGTTATTGTTTTACTCGCTGATAACGCGGGAATCTTTCTCGAACAAAATTTTCATCGTGAAAAAAATCTTAAAATATGTAGATATAAACAAGATGATATATTTGTAGAACATATGAAATTATTTGTTACGAAAGTTCTCGCATTGTATCCTATACCAATTTGCGTGATTTATTTTTAAGCCAGTGAGTTTATATTTATATAATATCTTCAAGTCGGAAGATAAATATATGATTGATTGGGTAATGTAGGAAACTTGTTTTTACTCTTTACGCCATGTATATCAATCGACTGAAGCTGTTCTTTGTACGAAAAGAATTTTTCAATTACTGAAATTGAATACTTGTACATATTAGGTGACATTTATAATATTTTTAAATAAGTAATAACTTCCACATGATATACGATGGTATATTAATTTTATTTTACATCTGCTGTGGTATCGCGCAAACAAGTACCAGTTTGGCGTGTATGTACATTAGAAATACTGTGTGTGGTAACGAATAATCATGTAGGCAAAAGTTTATTAATAATTTATACATAATTATTGTTTTTAGCATTCATTTATTTATTTATTTGTATTTATTTTTTAGATTTTATTAGAACAAATTTGTACGTTAAAAGATGGACTTTCAATCTAAAACAATCTAATGTTTTTTAAGTATTGATTTTTAGATAAACTTATTGTATCTATAAAAATTGTATGAAATCATTCATATATTTGTATAACGCGAGGAGTCGTGCGCTTGAAACAGCAATTCGATATTATAATGTTTTAAGCAATTTAAAAATTAGTTATTAATTGATCAACAAGTAGCAATTAATAATTAATTAATTGTTGAATTGATGATCCTCTTATTCAGAGTATTATAATAAGAATCACTATCATTATTTTTAATTCATGACATGAATCATCATCTCCTAATATAATTAGAAAAATAATTTGATTTTTACTCATTTTTTATCGATATCATGTTAATGGATAAAAGAGTGTTTTGTATCACTATAATAATTGATAATACTACTTTTACTGGTACATGTGAATCAGGAGAGTGAGTTTTTAAAAGTGCCGTATAGAATAAGGTGTGAACTTTACGGCATCTGATAAAAAATGAGAGGCCTGATGTTTCTAATAAACCTTGCTCACACACGACTGTATCAAGCGACGTCCCAAAGGAAGCTGTTGCGAAATTGTTGCACTCATTCCGCAAAGCCATTAATATAATATTATTGTAATAAGGCGTCTTCTCTTAATGATATATTAATATAAATTCGAAGTTTGCATAGTTAAGCTCAATATCACATGTTCGTTTTTTTCTATCGTAAGTGTGTGATATATATATATATATATATTACACAATCATTGTAAGAACATGAAATATTCCATTAAAAATTATTATTTGCTCATTCATTATTTCTGTTCCTTTTTTTCGTTTTGAACATTTTTCACTTTTTTCCACACAAATTCATAAATACAAGATATAAATTTGAATATTCATATTATATTTTTCATAAATCTGATTCTCACATCTGATAGAATCATTGCAATTTTAATGAAAAAGATGATTTTTAACGATAAATTTATTGCATAAATTTTGTATACGATGATTCTAGCTTGAAGCTGGATGATTTTAATAATAGTTTAAACTGAGTATTGGTTGCTTACTTTTCAAATAGCAGTGGTGTTTTTATTAAATTAATACTAAAAGAACAAAACAAAACAATTTACTTGTTCATCAATTTTAAAAATCTTTTTTCGATGAACTTTTTTATAAATAGATTTTGATGAAAAATACATTTAATATTCAACAATTTTTTTATGTATTTTATTTAGTTTTTTGTGATGTTATTTCATTAATATACAACCGTTCTATAAAGATAAAAAAATCAGTGAAATATTTGTACAGTAAGAAACACTGCCACATTCTTGAAAAAGTTTAATGAAGTATTTCTTCAAAAATTGAAACTGAAATACTTCGACAAAGACATGAAAAATTAAACTGTTATAACATGAGTCGATGCCAAAATATAAAATAAAATTACATGTTTAAAAAGTTAGTTGAATAAAATATAACGTATATTAACGATAGAAAATTTACGAAAAAGAAGATTATATAAGAATTAATACAATACAAAGTGAAATGAAATAAAATACATTTGAATGATAAAAAAGAGAATTCTACAAAGTTACAACTAAATGAAAGCAAATTAATAAGCGAAGAGTTGAACATGTATTTTTTCTTCCAATGCCAAAAATGACATTTTGTTTTATATGAAAACCAGTAGAAAACTCATAAAAAGAAAAAATATATATGGTGAGCTATGCAATATCAAAATCATTCAATGTGTATTTCTCATTAAATTAATCTTGACCGCCTTAATGATCCAAAATAACTGAACAATTAATGAAGAAAAAAATGATTTAAGATTTCACGAAAAGTGTACAACGTCAAAAAAATCCTCAGAAACGGATGTTATGCAAAATTTTCTGCAGTCTGTCAAATTTCATTGGACTAGTGGATTTGTAAATTTAAAGAAAACTGAATTTTCAAGTTTAACGAGATTTTAAAAGAGTCATTTTAAAAAGTTTATTAAATTATACAACTCACGTTTTGTAAATATTCTAAAACAAAGATAAGGATGAAAAGCTATTAAACTATGAACTTTTGATGATTTATAAAAAACCATACAATGATTTTTTGAAGTATGATTTTTGTAAATTTTATATGTGTACCACGTGAGAGTAAGCGAAAAATATCGCGGTTCGACAGCTCTCCAGTATAAAAAGAGTGAAAGATGAAAACAAACTATAAAAATGATGATATGCAAGTTGAAAAACTAATGAAAAATATATAAATATGAATATATTCTAAAATTATAAGATATCACGTAACGGTGAAAAATATTTATTTGTTTGAACGCGATAATTTTTTACTCGTAGCATAAATCAACATCGAGCGATGAAGTTTTGTAAATCGTTTTTGTAAATGCAATGATTTTGGAAACTGTAAAAGCAATCTAATGAAAGACTCATGAAAAAAAATATGAATCGGAAACGTTTAAATGCCGAAGTACGTGTCAATATGCATAAGAGTATACAATATAGTTATCGTTTAATTCAATAAAGTTCGAGAGGTGCGCACCGGAGCTACTAATCGACACTTTTATTGCACGATGATAATGCTTACAAGCATGATTTCTCGATATAACTGAAACTGTAAAACAATCGAGGAATAAAAAAAAATATAGTAAACTTAAGCGATAGTACTATCGATGTAAGTTTTTAAGATATAAGTGATAAACGATATGATGCAAATGTATAAGCCCGAAGTATAAATTCGTTCTTTGTGAATATACAATGAGAAAGAGAGAGAAACGATAGAAAAATACATAAAAAAACTTTTATGAATACATTGTTTGCATTGGTATTTTTTTTGCGCCTTCATTAGCAACCCATCTATCCTCACGAAAACTGTTTCACCTTTTCACTTTTGCGTTTACGGAGCAGCAGCAGCAGAAGGTACGTACTTTTCAGACGTCGTGCGCGGCCAATTAAGTTTTCACGTGCCCCGCATGCACGTAACGCATCATCATTATCATCGTCATTCGCCTCCGCTATATGTATACAATATATGTATATGTTTATTCAATGGCAAAAGAGATGCGTACAGTGAAAAATTTTCAAGGTTTCACTAAGTTCATATGGCATATTGCGGTTACGCTGGAAAAGCATATATGCTCGTTATGCCGACGAACATGATGGCAGGCAGCTGAGGTCTTTGACCGAGCTGACTCCGAGGCACGCTCCAAAGTATCACAATGATAAACACCGACAAAAGGATCCGTGAAAGACATAATCCAATCTGCGTCTGCCCGAGCACGAAGAAAGCGCACGCACACACAGGACTAATTGTTCAGGATAAGGATCTAAGGGCCAGCTCGTGCTCAGTTGTGACTATTTTTCTAGAAAAACGAACGTCTAAGTCTGTCCATTCGAGCTGAAATGAAAGAAAAAAAAGAACGAAATGAACATGCTCAAACTCACGCAAAGCAATGCGGCAATTAGTCAAATCTCCGCGCGAAGCAGGCAGTGAATATACGAGTATAATTTTGAGCGCGATATACATCATTTTCACTTTCTTTTTCTGCAGCAGCTGTGGCTAAAATGTTAAAATATATCTGCATATTCATACGTATGCGCGCGAGTGTCTGTGTGTCTGTGTGCGAGACTTTCGAGCCCATATATGCACCGCGATCAACAACGCACCATATAGCACTCGGGTGCACGCATTTGATCTTCCGCGCTGCGTCTGCAGTTGTATATAAGCGCAGACACACACACACACACACACACACACACACACACACACACACACACACACACATGCACGCGTGAATTTTTCGCTCGGGTATCTTCGAGAAAATAAACGACTCGATAAAACATAACGTATAACCAACTCGAACTCGTTGTACGAAGAGTGTATGTGTACGCGCAAAACTGTGGACGCAGCTCTGGAGATGATAAATCTCTCTGAATAAACGGAGAAAGAGAGAGAGAGAGAGAGAGAGATGCAACGATACACGGAGAGAGAGAAAGAGAGAGTGTAAACGCGAGCAGCTTATTTTAATTAGTCCGAATATCTACTCGTGTAACGTACTTTAACACGCGTACAACATTCATGCAAGGATGTTGAATTGCGAAATTTAGACGCTCGAATGAAGATACACGACTCGAAAAGACAACGGCGCAGGGCAATGTCTCTGGTCTGCCTTAGCCACAACTTGAGATTTGATTTATAAACGTATACTCTCATACACATTTTCCTCTCCCATTCCTCCCTTTAACGAATCAGTGAACGGTTAAAAAAAAGACATAATTCGCAGGTAGACCTACTGACCGCTACGCTGCAGCAGCATCCCATCATGATCATCATCAAAATCGCATGACCGCTGCTTAAAATGCACACACACACATACACGTGTATGCACTCACGGACTCATACGATCGACCTGAAAACTCTGCGGCTTGGGATGTATATTACGAATTTAAAAGTAGGCATCGATCCTCGCTCATATGCTCGAAAATCGATGGCTCGACAAACTGCATTTCTGCTGGTGTGTGCCGCCTCGCGTGGCTAAAAACACGTATATCGGTTAATATCGATTTATTCGCCTTTCGCTCTGTGTATATGATAAAATATTAATGAAACATGTGTAGCTTCGAGAGAAATAGACAGAGAACGAGAGAGAGGAGCTAAATTGGAATTTCAATCGACTGCTAAAGTAAGTGTGCTAGTATACGGTAACGGTCGTCGCGGCGCTGTGTGCCGAGGGCATCGTAAAACGCATATAAAATACATAAACACAACGGGCAGATTCTCTCACATGAATCTAATAGCGGCGCACAACAACGCACAGCCGCGCGAACTCGTCGTAATGTATAAATATATAGGCGCTTAGCTGTCGTAATTGATAATTGCTCAGGTCCGCTGCTGTGTTTTCGAGCCGTGCCAGTGTACCTATTGCGCGACGAACAATATATACTACACGCAGATATAAAACGATTCGCGTATGTATATGGATTTTCTCATTACGAAAAGGTACGTTCATGGCGGACTCGAAGTAGGCTCCTGTGACCAAAGGATAAGTAGGCGCAGCTAATACATGAATCGCTTATATATTATTATGAATGTAAAAAAATTAGCCATACGGCATATTGCGCGTTAAAAGCCGTCGAGCTGCTGCTATAAGCCCGTGAGCGAAGGAAATCAATCGATCATCGCTCAATATAAATCTCGTAAATAACACTTCGATACTTTACAGCCACGCATGTAGCTTGTAGTATCCATATAGGTGCACACTTACGTGCTGCAATATAATAATCCGCGCACACGAGCTCTCGAGTTAGAACATTTTATATTTTTTATACGGTTGAAAGTGCATGGGCGAATCGTAAAAAGCAGTACATGCGAGGCTATAGAATAGACAAGTTGCACCGAGGAGCGCGATGTAGTGCACACGATACATAAAAACGCGTTATATTGTTCAAACATCGTAACGATCGATCTGCGATACAAAAGAAGAGCGTCGATAATGCGTCGATCGCTATGGCCAATAACGATAATCACATAATGTATATATAACACGCGTACATGTGCGTATATGTACGAAGCAAGGAAGAAAAAGAGAGCTTGCGCTCTCCGATCTGCACTCCGAACAGCAACAACATGCGGCGGCCACTTAAATATACGCGCGTGCGGCGATCGTCGCATTAGCGTAACGACCGACCATTTAAAGGGACATGTATTAGCTGTATCGGTGTGCAGCGTGCGCGCACTCCAGCTACATACACGGCAGATCGCGAGTCCCTCTCTCTCTCTCTTTCTCTCTCTCGCTCGCTCGTAATATAGACCTATAGACCCAATTGCGCTGCTGCAGCGCAAGGAAGAAA